ACATCCAAATCAGGTGAACGGTGTAGGAATTAAAACAGTTTGCATATGTGCCTTCCACCTGTTAAGGGACCAAAGGTAATGGGACAGAATAATAATCATAAATCAAACTTTCACTTTTTAATACTTGGTTGCAAATCCTTTGCAGTTAATTACAGCCTGAAGTCTGGAACGCATAGACATCACCAGACGCTGGGTTTCATCCCTGGTGATGCTCTGTCAGCCCTCTGCTGCAACTGTCTTCAGTTCCTGCTTGTTCTTGGGGCATTTTCCCTTCAGTTTTGTCTTCAGCAAGTGAAATGCATGCTCAATCGGATTCAGGTCAGGTGATTGACTTGGCCATTGCATAACATTCCACTTCTTTCCCTTAAAAAACTCTTTGGTTGCTTTTGCAGTATGCTTTGGGTCATTGTCCATCTGCACTGTGAAGCGGCGTCCAATGAGTTGTGAAGCATTGGGATTTGGCTGAAAATGAGCAGATAATATTGCCCGAAACACTTCAGAATTCATCCTGCTGCTTTTGTCAGCAGTCACATCATCAATAAATACAAGAGAACCAGTTCCATTGGCAGCCATACATGCCCATGCCATGACACTACCCACCACCATGCTTCACTGATGAGGTGGTATGCTTAGGATCATGAGCAGTTCATTTCCTTCTCCATACTCTTCTCTTCCCATCACTCTGGTACAAGTTGATCTTGGTCTCATCTGTCCATAGGATGTTGTTCCAGAACTGTGAAGGCTTTTTTACATGTCGTTTGGCAAACTCTAATCTGGCCTTCCTGTTTTTGAGGCTCACCAATGGTTTATATCTTGTGGTGAACCCTCTGTATTCACTCTGGTGAAGTCCTCTCTTGATTGTTGACTTTGACACACATACACCTACCTCCTGGAGAGTGTTCTTGATCTGGCCAACTGTTGTGAAGGGTGTTTTCTTCACCAGGGAAAGAATTCTTCGGTCATCCACCACAGTTGTTTTCCGTGGTCTTCCGGGTCTTTTGGTGTTGCTGAGCTCACCGGAGCGTTCCTTCTTTTTAAGAATGTTCCAAACAGTTGTTTTGGCCACGCCTAATGTTTTTGCTATCTCTCTGATGGGTTTGTTTTGTTTTTTTCAGCCTAATGATGGCTTGCTTCACTGATAGTGACAGCTCTTTGTAATTGGGATAATGAGGGAATAACACACACCTGGCCATGGAACAGCTGAGAAGCCAATTGTCCTATTACTTTTGGTCCCTTAACAAGTGGGAGGCACATATGCAAACTGTTGTAATTCCTACACCGTTCACCTGATTTGGATGTAAATACCCTCAAATTAAAGCTGACAGTCTGCAGTTAAAGCCCATCTTGTTCGTTTCATTTCAAATCTATTTTGGTGGTGTATAGAGCCAAAAATGTTAGAATTGTGTCGATGTCCCAATATTTATAGACCTGACTGTATATGAAAAATATCAGATGAATAAATTGCAACAAATTATATCAACTGACTGAGTCCTGATATATTTCCACAGCTTGATATAACAATCACGCTAGTGCTGCATGCATATATTTGAAAAAGTCTGTGATCCTATGGTGTCTTCTAATGGTGTATTACAAAACAAATATAGTTCACCAGTTCACATATAATGTGCTTCTTCGCCAGTTGTGCTTTCACCTGACATATATGACCAAACCGTTAAGTGAGGTCATACAAGCTTGTGTCCCTTTATTGGGCTCAGAGGTGGACAAATGGATAAATCCCAGATGGATGGATGAATGGAATTTTTCGTAAAGATAAAAAACTGCTTTTTGTACAATTTTGCATGGTGGGAGGGGCTATGACATCACGACGCTTAAAGGAAACCACACAGCAAGTATATGGGAGTGTGGCAAACATAAAGGATCATGCAAAATTGTACAAAATCGTTTTTTATCTTTATACTATGTGAGTGCACTACATTTATTTAATAAATTCTTTAAAAAGAAAGATAATAAGGCACTATATTCTCTTTTTAATTACATGGTATAAATATACATGGAGGAAAACGTTTGAAAGGAATCGAGACCCCCTAGTGGGAAGAAGGATAACTCCATCCATCCACCTCCTGGAAAAAGATCTCTAGGAAAACGGTGAGACCCCTTGCTGGGAAAAAGTAAAAACTCCATTCATCCATCCGTCTGGGATACACGGATTTATCCATTTGTCCACCTCTTAGCCCAATTAAAGTACACAAGCTTGTATGACCTCACTTAACGGTTTGGTCATATATGTCAGGTGAGAGTACAGCTGGCGAAGAAGCACAATATATGTGAATTGGTGAACTAGATTTGTTTTGTAATACACCATAGGATCACGGACTTTTTCAAATATATGCATGCAGCACTAGCGTGATTGTTATATCAAGCTGTGGAACTATATCGGGACTTAGTCACTTGATATAATTTGTTGCAATTTATTCATCTTAAATTATTCATATATTTATATGTATATTCAATTGTACTGATAGTGGAGAGCAACACCACCGGTTTTGATTAGCTGGTAAGTGTGCTTGGATTTTTTTTTGTGATGTCTTTTGCTCTTTCATTTGCACCTTACTGCAAAGGCTAGTTATACATTGGGATGGTTGTCATCTTTTTCTATAGCTTGTTTTCTGATTTGGTATGGGGTCACATTTGATGTCTTCAGCTGCCATTGTGCACTTGCTGGATGTCCAGTGTGTCCCGGTGTCTTTCAGGAGGAGTGGGCCCTCTCCAGGCACATCTGCCCTTAGTCTGTCCACTGCTATGTATTCTCCAACTTTGTGGCTCTCAGAACTATAGTTAGGACTGTCTTATACAGAGGAACCTTGACGTGGGTACTGCAGCATCCACATATATGTGCAAACGAAACCCTCCGTTTTAATGTGAACTGTTAGACAAGGTCAATTTGGTTGTTTGCAGGCTGGCTGCTACGTGAGACGTCACAAACAAAAAATCCCCAGCATACTTACCAGCTAGCCTACAAACAAACCACACTGACCCTGTTTAAAAATTGTTTGGTTTGTTTGCAGGCTGGCTGGTAAGTGTGCTGGGAAATGTTTGTTTGTGATGTGTGTTGCCCTTCCATGTGCACCTTACTGCAAAGGCTACTAAAATCTTTTTAGGTATAGGTTTTTGTGCGACTTTGCACAGGGACTCAGGAGAAAACTGACCATTTATAATGCTGCGACACTTCGCGTCCAGTTAAGAGAAGTATGGCCAATGCTTTTTTGGCCATACTGCTGTTGTATTCTGTCTGTATTTACTTGTGCTGTACTAAGACCCAGAATCCTTCAACAGCACGGTAAAGTCTGATGTCTGCTGACATCACAGAGCCGCTCCAGGCTCTGGAAGGATCCCGATCATATTGTCAGGATTCAGTCAAACTGGTCGATCAGTGGTCATGTGACCACTCTTCGGCTTAGAGCTAGTGGCGGACAGCTGCAGCATGGAAGTGAGTATGCATGTATTTTTTGGGTTTTAATTTTTTTTTAACAAGCCCAAACAACTTTAAATTCTGGTTGTCGTTTTCATAGCACAGCTCAGAGAATGAAAGCTATGATTAACTGTTATGAGCAGCACCTATATGTTCTATTTGACAAATGACAATTTGGATTGATGGAAGAGTATTACAGCGTCTAGCTATCTAAGCATCTCGGCATGCTGTAATACAATGGCTAAATTATTCTTGGCTCAGTAGTGCTGCACTACTGCTCTGCTCAGAAGTAGCACAAAGCTCATTTCTTCTGCCTTGTTACTCAGCTTTTGTTCATTTCCCTTTGAAGCCCATAAAAAATGTCTGTGTCTGTATAAGCATTGTGACTAGGCAAGTAAAGCTAGGGAGAGAAGGCTGGAATGGATGATGACACTTAAAGTGGTACTCCAGGCAAAACACTATCCAGTATTAAAGATGTAGCGTGACTAGGGCTTTATCTGTGTCCTGTTTTTATCGTTTCCATGATTAAAGGTAAATATGGTACAATATCAACGCCTCTACTTTACCTTTGTTTCTTTGAAAAAAACAAATTGTCACCTCACACATTGCAGTTGTTCCATCTTTGAATTCTGTATTTCCTCCTCAAGTGCACCAGAACAGACATTATGTAAGTCTGCTGGTCTTCTGACACACCTGAGAATCTTAAGACGATTGATTTTAGTCAATTTCAGTGTTCCCATTGAGACATCCAACTATTTATGCATCTGACTTTTTAAAATGTCATTTTTTTTTTTTAAAGTTCTTTTTTACATCTCCACTAGATGGCACTGCTTGACTGAGGTTCTTCAGTTGGTTTGACAACTATCTGCTAGAGGGGACTCTACTGGGTGCTAAAGAACTAAAGATTTGTTTACATATTGATTGACAGGAAGATTTGATCAGGTTAATCAGGCTTATCAACCTGCTTTGAGAAACATGTATCTGTGTACATGGGAGGGGAGAAAGGGGGGGGGGGGGGCAGCCTTTCTGGACCACACTTAGTCTTACAGCATATTGCTGCTTATTGGAATAATGCGCTCTGCAGTTATGATTGGCAGCCAGAACAGTGTGATATTTTTTAACCTCTATTACCATAAATAAAAAAGTAAGTGGGCTTAGTGAATGAAACACAGAGTAAGATGCAAAGTACAGTTAACTATACAGCTCTAGAAGTATTTTTCACCGAATTGGTTTGGGTATACTGAATATTGTTGCCATAGGTTACTGCACTTTGCCCATCACTATTCTGGCTTACGTTTCTGAATTGGCTGCACATGACCACTCCTGAATGGTCATGTCTGGTTCATGTCCGCTCAGCAGCCGATTTATAATTTGATATCCTCCATTGATTGTTTGTGGGTGAGAACAATGCTAAAACCTATAGCAGAAATCATATGTTGCTTTGATGGTTGCTGCCTTTTGCACTCTGGATTACCTTTTATGGTATGCCCATAAATGTTTCATAAAAGGGATTTTTGCTTTTCATCCAGACACTTTGCTGAACTTTATGTGTTGAAAATGTTTTTGTTTTATTTTTCAGGCTCCGCCATCCATGGTAAATAATGAACAACGGCAGCATGCAGAGCATATCTTCCTCTCCTTTAGAAAGTCTAAGTCACCTTTTGCTGTATGCAAACACATTCTAGGTATGTACATGTTACACCTGCCATGCAAGTGCATTAATTTATAGCAGGGTTGCCCTACCTTTTGAAGAGCAAGGGCCTCTAAAGTGATTTGGTAACTGGTCGCAGGCCACAGTGAAAGGAAATGGTTCAGAATTTCAAATCTTTTATTTTGAATAGCATAATCAACATTTTTCTCCTGTAGCTGCCAAATGCTGGTGGGAGGGAGAGGAGGAGAAGCCAGCTTTCAGCAGTTTCAGGAGGAAAACCGGATCAGTTCCTGTATATGCCACCCCTCCTATTCAAGTGGGCACGGGCCCCCTGGATCTTGGGGCAGGGTCGCCATTGACGCTACACCAGTGGTTGGAGGGGAAGAGGGGTGGTGGTAAAAACATGTCTTAAAGTGTTACTAAACCCAGGAGCCTGCATTCGGTATATCTTGTCTCCCACACAACACAGAACATGGAAATGTAGCTATTTTAATATAAAATGCTAAATACCTTTTCGTATCAGCAGTATATAGCAGTCTTGTGACTTCTATCCGTGTCCAGCAGAGCACTGGTTAAAGCTCGTAGAGGAGGTTTCCTTCTCCTCTGATTGTCTTATGAGGCTGCAGGGCCCCCTGATCCTCTGTCAGGACAGTGCTGATTTAATCCTGTGCTGATCACATGTACTCTCCCAAGAAAGAACAAAATCTGTAGTACACACCAAACTGAGCATGTGCAGTTTGCCCCCGAGGCTCTGTTCTATCAGCAGATGGATTGTGGACAGTAGAAGGGGCTGATCAGAGAAGACAGGATCAAAAATTATTTTTACAGAATGCAGAGGATTAACCCCTTAGGTTCCACAGTGAGTATAACAAGCATGCTTTACTGCATATACAGACTGATTTTACTGTTGTGGGTTTAGTAACACTTTAAATTCGGCACCTGATCCCTCCGTGGTCGTTTTTGCTTCTTCCTCTGCCGATGCTGGCTCTATGCTTTCTGATGATCTGGGATGGCTGATTGGTAACCCGTGATCTGGGTTCGCTGACCTGCCTTCCCAGAGTATGAGGTCACGGGCCACATCAGAGGGCTACGGGTTGAGCACACCTGATTTATAAGAGTAATAAAGTCGCAAAGAAGCTCAGTTTGTTATACAGTTTCCATGCTGTGTTTTGTGATGCATTACTGGTTTAACATTTATGTTTTAATATTTTTACAGAAACTAGTAAAGTGGACTATGTACTGTTTCAAGCTGCCACAGCTATAATGGAAGCCGTTGTGCGAGAATGGATCCTCCTGGAAAAAAGTAGCATTGAATCACTCCGAACATTCCTATTAACTTATGTCTTACAGAGGCCTAAGTGAGTAAATATCTGTTGACGAAACTTTGTTGTTTGACAAAAATCACAAATAAGAAATAGTCCAGCAAGGGAGGGGGGGGGGTGTTAATAATTGTGTGCAGGATGATGCTCTATTTCTGTCTTTTTCCAGTGACTATACTAGCATGAGAATAGGTGGGAACATTTTTTCATGCTACCACTAGAGGGTGCTACATGAGAAAAAGTCCCACATTGTTTCATGATTAGAATATCCTCAGAAGCTTCAGGGACACACAGGTGGATGAACGTCACATTTTGCTCCATTGATTTTAATTTATAGTAGGGTCCTAGTTAATGTAGAATTCAGGAGTCAGGTCAATTCTTACATTAAAGTTCAAGTTCGCCTTTTCACAAAAAATGAAAAGATGGGACACCATTCCCACCTTCTGGTGAAGCAGCCCAGGGATTTGAAAGCCTCAGCTTTCCTTAGGGCTTTTGGGACAAATCAAAGGGGTCATACGCCAGCACATGACCAACCAGAAATCGCTCTGAGCCATCCCAAAAGCTGTAAGAAAAGAAGTGGAAGAGGGAGCAGGACTTTTAGTCGTTGGATCGCTGCGCCGGCTGTCTTGGCAGCTAATCACCCACAGAGGTAAGTGCAGCAGGGTCCAAAGAACAAAGGTATACCGCTCAGGCAAACAATCCAGATCAATCCACAACAGGTGCAGGCTCTGGCTTGCCACTACACACAATGCAATAGGAAGAAGGGTCAGCCGCACACCGGAGAATAGATTAATATAGTGTGTATTTATTAATCCATAGGACACACAAAAAAGTGCAGCAGGGACCAGGAGAGTGTAGTGTTCTTTACCGTTTCATAAAAAATGACTTGCTTTAACAGATCATCAAAGTTACTTTTACACTTCCCAGCATTTTTTGCCTTCTTGCTTATATAAGGACTTTCACTGTTCAGGACCTTGCAGTGTTGAATAAGCTGGTTGCACATGTATTTGTGATTGTACCAACTTTTTCAGATCTGCTAATGGTTACATCGCAGGAGTACCTACTTCATTTGATACGTATTGAATATATTATTTAGGTTGGCCTTTCAGTCAGATCATAATATGTGGCCAGCTCTGGTCATATCGGTAAGCTGTAGAAATTGAGAACTGAGGGGCACTGCATTTAATGAATGGGGTCATGAGGCACTCTTATCAAAATAAAACTCATCCCAAAATTACAGGCAAACCAATGACATGCTTTTTAGCTCTACAACCTTTTATGTTCTCAAAAGAAATATGAAGGCACTTAAATATGGTGTTTTTGATGACAGGTTGACTTTAAATGAGTCTGCTGGCTCATGATTTTAACTGACTGGGCCTTGAGTTATTTAAAGAAAAATAGTAATGGTTTTAAAACTTTGCAAGGTTATAATCTAATTTTTATACTTTTCATTTCTATAAAAACTTTGTTTTATAACATTAAAGATGAACAATGAACATCTCTTATTCGCTCCCTTTTGATCTGTTAAATATAACATTGTAAAAATGTCCTATCTGTTTTGATTTGTGCAAAAAGTACAGATCATGTCAGAAATTCAGAGCTTTGGTGTGTCCTGTGCACTCTTCCTATGTTATATCAAGAAGTCTAAGTACCCCTCCTAGTTCATATCTTGGACTTCAGAATAATTAGAGTCTGCATTGTAGACATGAGGAGAGTGTAAGGATTTGATTAGTCTAACAAAAGACAACTGGACAGGGCTGTCACCACTCCATGCACAACAATGCTGCATTGTCATCCCACAACAGTGTATTTCTGGCACATCAAAGAATATGTTTTACCAGTAGCAGGTTTTAATTTTTTTTTTTTTTAGGGTAAAAGCATTTTCAGCAAGTACAGAAAGTACCTGTTGATCTTGCAAGAAATGCAGTGCCTTTGTCACTTTCTGTAAGATGAAGTCTAGCCTGTGTGACTTTGTATCTATGGGTGCCCTAACCATTTGCCTACCGGCACTTTTACCCTCTTTGTGCCCAGGCCAATGTTCAGCTTTCAGCGCTCACACTTTGAATGACAATTGCGCAGTCATGCAACACTACCGGTATGAACTTTTTATCTTTTTTTTTACGCAAATATAGCTTTCTTTTGGTGGTATTTAATCGCCACTGGGTGTTTTATTTTTTGCACTATAAACAAAAAAAGATCAAAAATTTGGAAAAAAAAGTTTTTCTTTCTATTATAAAATTTTGTAAACAGGTATTTTTTCTCCTTCACTGATGTGTGTTGATGAGGCCGCACCGATAGGCAGCACTGATGGGCATTGATAGGCAGCACTGATGGGGTGCACTGATGAGGTGGCATTGATGAGGAGGCACTGCTGGGCACTGATCATCAGTGCAGATGTCCTCGGTGACATTTGCTGGTTATCAGCAGTACTTTCCGCATGCTGTGACAGCATGAGGAAAATGCTGCTGATAACCTGCAACTGTATTTAATTGGTGATCTGCTGTGTCATTAGACACAGCTGATCACATGGTGAAAGGTCACTGTGATTGGCCTTTTACCTCATCATGTGATCCGTAGGACACAGAGCTCTCACAGACAGCACTGGGTGCGCGGCGCTGTAACGATTGTGAGCAATAGAGACATGGAACCTGTACATAACAGCCATTTTTGTTTTTTCATGAGCAGTGATCTTCCTCCCCTCCCTCCTCCTGAAAACTGGAATTTGTAGCTGTAAGTTTTAACAAACTTCAAAAGAGCCTCTTATCTTAATTAAAACACAGTAGACACCAGAGCCTAGGCCTGGATGGCAGCTGTAAATGGCTAATTAGTCTTGGTAGGATGTCTGTTTTGATGAACCATGGAAAACACTTTCCTCTGCCCTGTCGTAAAACAATAACTCAGTCAAGCAGTCACACATGACCTGTAAGGCCATTAAGGCTCTAGGAATGCAGAGCATGCCATAAAACATCTATTCCACATGTAACCATTCCACATACAATTCATAGAATTCAGCAGGAACAGGGCACATTAATATTAGGTATATATTTGAATAGGGAATATCATACCAAACAAATCATGGTCACACAGGACTATGTTAGCACATAGGAAAGGGGAGAAAGCAGTATCTTCCCTCCTGGGTGACAAAGGTACGCTGTGATTGGTATCCCTGGGTTCAGAATATAATTCTGAATAATAATCTGCCAGTTGCTAGAATACCACCTGTACGCATTGAAAGTTTTTAATATTAGCATGAAACTGTAGTTGGTCATAAATTTGGTGACCTCTTAGCACCCATCCCCTAAGCCAGATGATTGGTCTGTTCTCTGTCCACATCCCCTTGATATCATAGAAAAGGGACTGACAGGACTTGCTAAAATTGAGCCCTCGTTTATCATCAACCAAGGAACATCTTAACGGACTTGAGAGCCAAGGCAACGTTTTTGCTTGGACAATTGGACTCTGCTAAAAACCAAGGACTTTGCATGTATTCTGCCTTCTCAACTCCTTTCTTTTATTTCTCTGTTGCATTATTGCTCTCTTTATGTCTTTGTAACATCCCTTTCTGTAAATATATTGCGCAATTTGACCATGTTATTAATAAAACCTATTTTGAAAAGTGTTAAAATTATCTCTAAGGCTTTTAATGCAAACTAACGAATCCCTGTCTTTGAAGAGTGTGACTGTATATAATAATCTTCTGAATATACATGTCTGTGGTGACAGTGTGTGTTACAGACATTTATTCACATTTGTTCTTGCTAACATTGTGAAGGGTTGATAGTCCCAAAGCTATCTGGTGGCAGTTTGGAGTTTGAAGGTTTAATTTCATAATTAATTAACCCAATGACGTTCGCTCTTAGGCTTCTGGCACATAGATTGTGGTCCTGCGAGCTGGAAAATCTCTGCAGGGTGCAGCTGAGAGTGTCATTGTTACACAAGTGAGATTGCTGTGTAAGATTGGCTGTCACGAGTTTGTGAGAAGGGCAGGGGTCAGGCACCGCGTTCGTCACAGGCGCATTCTGGGAGGACATCATATGACGCCCTCCCAGAACTGAACAACCGAGCTGTAGCCATCTTTCGGCTATAGCACGGTTGTGAAGTGGTTAAAGTGATTCTAAAGGTTCATTTTTTAAAATAAACTGTGTTATTTTACCTGTGTAATGGTTTTGCAAGGAGCAGCCCCGATCCTCCATTTCTCAGGTCCCCCGTCAGCTCTCATGCACATAACTGGCTTGGTTTCAGGTGAGTATAAGGAAGGGGCTGGAGGGGAAGCTGCACTCAGAAGGTGTTTTACCTTCATGTGTAGAATGCATGAAGGTAAAAAAAAACAAAAAATCTTCTGCCTTTACAATTACTTTAATAGATACAAGAGAGGGAATAAAGGGACAGGGAAGTGTGTTATTGTCAAGATAACCAGGTGAAAATAAAGAGGGAAAAGCCTGAAAAAGAAAACTATTGCAGCTGCTACATACAAGGACTGCTAATCTGCAATAAATTAGATTTTGCATTTTGGGATTAAATACCCTTTTAGGGGTTAAAGTACTACTTGGTTATCCTAAGAAATGACAATGTTATTGATGAATAAACAGGCCCATAGGAAAAATATAAAAATTGCTAAAGTCCATATTGTATAGTATACATATGTAAGAGCTGAAGTGTTTAAATGCTAACCGAACCCTTGACACCATCAGCAATGTATATTGAGCCTCTAATAAAATAAAGCCTGTTATTGGCATCATGATTGTTAGTAGTATAATAAACCAAGGCAAACCGTCTAATCTCTGCCAGGAGGAGGTAGAGATCTTCTCCTGTGAATCCTTCTGCAGTCTGTACATCAGAAAGCTGATGTGCTGCTAGGAGCTCACTGCTTGTAGGCTGGGAAAGGTAAATAATCAAATGCAACATTTTAATATATACCAGATTAAAAGTACAGTATATATTCGTGTTTTTGTCCTGAGTTTATAGTTATCAGTATCTGGAAGTAGAACTTTAGTCCGAAAATAAAGTCCTGCAAGATCACTTCAGGCTGGCCCTTCTGCAGGTATAGCTATGTAAAACATTAAGTGCCTATACTGTTTAACCACTTGCCCTCCAGAAGATTTACCCCCCGTCCTGACTGCCGCTGCGTTACTTTATCTGACAATTGCACGGTCATGCAGTGCTGCACCCAAATTAAAATTTGTGTTTTTTTCCCCCCCACAAATAGAGCTTTCGTTTGGTGGTATTTGATCAACTGTGTTTTTTACTTTTTGCGCTATAAACAAAAATAAATAAATACATTTTTTGAAAAAAATCATTTTTTATTTTATGCTATTCAACCTATCCAATAAAATATTTTTTAAAAATCTAATTTCTTCATAGATTTAGACCAAAATGTATTTTTGATAAAATGTATATTGATTATTTTGCGCAAAAGTTTTGCCGTCTACAAACTATAGAACATATACTGGAATTTTTTTTTTTTTTTAGGCTCATAATGGGGACAATCAGCGACACATAGTGAGACTACGATCTTGCAGCGGACATTTTTACACTAACTGACACGTGTGAACCAGTGACACTAATACAGTGATCACTGCTAAAAATGTCCACTGACACACTGTACTAATGATACTGGCTGGGAAGGGGTTAACATCTAGGGTGATCAAAGGGTTAAGTGTGTGCCTAGCTATGTGCTTGGTGTACACTAAGTGGTGCTTTCACTATGGGAAGTGATCAATCGCGTTCTCCTCTACAGAGAGAAACAATTCATGACTTTTCACTGTTACAACAGTGCTATAGCCAAAGCTCTGTTCTTCATTGACAGACATTCTGCCGGGGCTTACAGATTGTTTTGCCTGTTCACAGCTGAAGATTTCCTTCAGAGGTGTGTGCCCCGTGTGACGGAAGTGAAAAATTACATTTATATATGTGATTTTGCACAGGAATGCCGCTCTGTAGCAGTAAAACTGCTGTAGGGCAGAGGGCAAATGGTTAAAATACAAATAATTCTAATGCACAGTTAATCCTGCTCTGCACATGCTCAGTTGCTCTTTATTTTTCGGCACTGTGCCAAAAATGTAGAGGCTGATCTGCTGACAGCCTAAAGACATACTGCTGCTCAGGGGCTCTGGGTTTCAGCAAAATGGCAGCCTCCAGCAAGAAGAAACAGGAACAATGCTGGAGGCAATTTACAGCACACACAAATATTGGTAGCTAAATTATTGTGGAATGTATGTTTCTTGCTAAAGGACATTATTTTCTATCAGGTTGTTGTGAGTAAAGTTCTGCTTTAATTTGTCCACCCCTGGTCTTGCAGATGTGTCCTCTAAATACATTTTATATAGAACATCATTCATGACACATCGAGAGTATGAATACAGAAGTATACTGCATAATATTCAGTATTCAACATGATTTAGCAATGTGCATTTTTTTCTTATCCTTTGAGTTATACCACTGCCTACAGGATGATTGGAATCTGGCAAACAAAAACTGTAGGCCTGCCCAGGATAACCCTTCTAGTACCAGCATGTCCACGTTTTTTGGTAGTATCTGAAAATGGACTTCTTTCTTTTTCTTTTTTTTTTTTTTTTTTTAATCTCTGCTAAAGAACAGATGCTACCAGTGGCAAGATCACCTATCTTCCTCCGAAGAAGCCTAAACAAACTGTAAAGTCTTCTCCTTTTATGACTGTTAAGAAATGTCCTTTTTGTTTCTCCAGTTCCTCGACCCTGATGTCGAGACCCCCATGCTTGGCTCCCCATCCACCCATAAGGTCTGTCAGGTTGCCAGATACTCAGACAAGCAATCCTCGGCGTAATGGTGTGCCCCACTTTCCAGAGTGAGGAGATGTATGTTAACCTTTGTGACCGCTTGGACTGCTTGCATATCTGCCACTTGGTTGTTAACAATGGTATCCCAGGGCTACAAACTGGAGTCTTGCTCCCTAACACCACCTCAGTTCCTGTTGCTGAATCTTGGGGTTTTAGTCCAATCTTATTACAGTTCCCAAACTCAGTGGGCATTCTGGATCTCAAAACTGTCTTCATTTAAGTCCAAAATTTCTGCATGGAATCATCTGTCATTGCATCCTTTCACTGGGAACACCTGGCTTTTATGGATATCAAATATGCTCACCTACATGTCTCCATCTCTCCAGCAATTACTACACCTTGCTTTCGGGCCCCTGCACTACCAGTTCATGGCCTCGCCATTCAGCTTCTCATAATTTGACTGTCTCTGCAGCATTGAGCATCCTATTGGAGGGTAATCTCACACGCCTGAGGCATGTTTATTTGTTTTTTTTTGTGCACGCGAGTGGACTTTGTTTTATCACTGATGAATGTTGAGCACTGTGGTTCATATTTATTCGATATTAATTCATTTGATATAGTAGATTGTTGCACAATATCTGGGATTTTTTTTTACTGTATATCTGTTGAATATATATTTTAAAGAGACAGCGCAACAAGTTTTTGCTGAATGGTGCATATCATTAGGGAGGAACTAGAAGTCTCACTGTGGCAAGAGAGGTAGGTTGGATCATGTTCTTTTTAAAACTTTATTTTCCAACCTTGTCTGCTGTGTAGGCAATACCTGGAACAGTCCCAGGTGGTGTTAAGGACCTGCTGTTGGTGGGGATGCCACATCTGGATCTTCAGGTTTCAACAAAGAAGATCAGTACATGCTAATGTATTCTTTTCCTCCTCTGAAACTTCTACTCGTCTGCTTTGCAAAATTGAGTGCATTCCTGTGATTTGCATTGCTCTGGACTAGTCCAGGTGAAGGTGACATGCTGACCTGGTAAGACTCCTGGCAGACATCCGAAGGCTATGCCAGGCCATCAGATTACTCCCTTCCAAGGTCTTGATTTTGCCATCCTTCTTCACAGTTGCTGGCTTTTACAGCATGGCTGTGAAAAAGCAAGTTCTGAGGCATAGATTCCTGTGTTTTCCAAGACGTTAAAGCTAGATCTACTTTTTGCAAGATTTATCATTGAACATAGAAGGCCTACTTTTTCATGTTATCCACCCCAGGAGATTTTGCGTCTCCATTTTTCTCCTGGTTTTGCATAGGGACAAAACCATCTGGATGTGGTTTGGGCTGTGCCAGTTGTCTCCCAGCCACTGATCCTTTCAGGAAGACAATTACTTTTTTCATCACAGGTGGACCCTGTAAGGATGCACAAGCTTCTTCTTAGAACATCTATAGGTGACTCTGGCAGATAGTCATTGATGTTTTATGGCCTCAATATTCTGGATTCACCCTTTTCTGTCAAGACGTACCTTACTAATTCTGTGAATACTTCTTGAGCTTTTTCGTCATTAATCAACTGTTTCCCAGATTTGCAAGGATGCCTCCTGGTCTTCTGGTAACATATTCTATAACTTCTAAATTCTAAAAAGTGGGAATTTCAGCCTCTTCTTATAGCATCTTTGGGTATTTTAAGATTTAGGCAGCTCTTTGTTTGCTGCATTGCCCACCCCTAAGGTTTACTGCTTTGGAATATCCTGCAGGTTAAAAGTTTCCTGTATGCCTCAATGGATGAAAAAAAGTTAATTTTTTTGCTTGCTGTAAAATCTTTCTTGGAGTCCATTGAAGGGCACAGGTCCCTCTATTCTGTGTTTGATTATCATGCACCCGGTACTGCTTTACCACAAAACTGAGGCATCCTGTAGTAGGATTAACTGGCCTACAGTTTTGTTTGTCAGAGTCAAATCCTACACTAGATGACCTAGAGATTAAAGCTTTGCTGTGTCCTTCAGAAAAGAATTTTACTATGTGTACAAAAATCCAAATATTAGACTACTATGAAATATTGTATGAATATATATTTTTCCAGTCTGCAGGTAGAAGCAGGAGTCTCATTTTTACACATTTACTGGGTAACTTTAGCTGCGTTGTTGTTAAGTCTATAAACTCAATATTGATCAACCTCAAATTTACACCCCAGTCCATCAGAGTGGCTCATCTCATTCTACTCCCCTACCCTGCTTGCTTTGTTCATAAGGGTGTGCTAAGTTACAGAAAAGAGAGGATTACAAATATATGTTAAAAGCTGAATTGTTGGTATGGATTTTTTTTTTTTTTTTTTTTTTTTTAGCAGTAGCTACATCATGGATTCTCTGATTCTGCAGGTATCTGCCAAGCATGGAACACCATACTTAGGTTGGCCCAAACCTATTAACTCAAAATTAAAAACAATAGCATGATCATTTTACGTCCCTCCATCATCCTGTTGTCTTTTAGTGTGAATGTATCTAAACTCCCCCTCCCCGGTCATTCTTGTAGTCTGTAGTGCTCCTCCCTTCCACTTTGGCAAAGGGAATCTCAGCCCCTCCAACCGTTCTCACTTAGAATAGGAAGGATAGCAGAGGCCACGTGAGACCACATGACTGCACAGCAGCACTGTGCAAAAAGGTACTTAGATATGTAATTTTAAAGAAAAACACACACAGCAAAAATGTATAGGTTAAAAGGATTGATGTGATTTTGCAACCACTTCAAGAATGTACAATTTAGAGACTGATTTTAAGAATTATGCAGTGTATTGTTTGTATAGATATGTAAAGTTGCACATTCAGCAATACACATTTTAGTTACTTACCTTGTTTTACATTTGCAGCCTCCAGAAGTATGTACGAGAACAGATCCTCTTGGCAGTAGCAGTCATAGTGAAGAGAGGATCATTAGACAAATCAATTGACTGCAAGAGCATTTTCCATGAAGTCAATCAGTTAATCAGCAGTGGTAACCCTACAGTTGTAAGTAGTAAGAATAATTGCTTGCTCATACTTCTGAACTTCCTTTGTATTTCTTTTCAAACTGTCATGTCACTCCCTATTGAAGTAGTTAGTAGGACAGATCTGCAAAAGAATAACTAACGTATTTGATGTTACCAGTGTCTACCTGGCTTAAATTTATTTTAGCATATAAGGAAAGGTGAGTGTGTGCTACTGCGGATAATGGAGTAAAACAAACCTTTTACTTAAATCAACATGGACAAAACCATAGGTTTGCTGCAAAGTTGAGGGGATGCTGAGTGTTCCCTACTGCGTAAGGGTGATAGCTTGAATCATGTTGCTAATGAATAGTAATAATACCGCAAGAGAGATCTTCCATCCTTACAGATTTCATGAGGTCCTCTTTCCCCATAACCTAGTTTGAGATCCCTGGGGAATAAAAACAAAAACTGTTTAGTTTGGGCTATGGGCATCAGTTGGCTTGCATTGCATGCTGTGTTACTCCTGGACAAAGAATAGTAACACTTTGCACACTGTAATCATAAATCTTATGTTACTGATGTTTTAAAGTCAACCATTCCATTAATAAAATAATTAGGGATTCTTTAGATCCTGTCTCAAATAAGGATTCGGAGACAGCTCTTGCAGTTAACTTTACCTGGCATCAGTTTTGTAGAAGAGGTTAACCTAAAACAATAGGTGTGTATTGTTCTACAGATTGCTCATATTTTCGTTATAAATTTAATTTGCGTAGTTACGTTTAGCAATGAAAACATTTGAGAGGTTTAAAAAAAATTAGCAAGTTTAATATTAATGCAAAATAAAACATGTTGGTGAAAACAGAAAGTGAACTACCAGCACACCTACATGTGATCAACATATTTACACTGGAGAAGCATCTGGAAGTAACTCTTTGCAGCCACTAAAGGGCCTCTTTTATCAAACATCATTTTTTTTGACATGATCAGTAAAGTTGCTCTGAAAGTATTGGGTATGTTTGTGACAGGCTATTTAAAGTGACTGGGTCTTAATGATGCCATCCATCTTTGTCACTGCAGCACCCCAATATTGTTGGTTATACAACTGTTTGGAGTGTACCAAGACTGCTATGGCAAGTGCAGGTCTGTTTTGGACCCCAGACACTTTCACAATACCCTGGGAAGTGTCTAGCTGATGTGAAAGTGATTATACTGCTGACTGGCGTAGCTTGATATTCTTCTGGATTGTAGCACATTTTGTTAACCAATTTGATGTAAAACTTAAGATACAAGATTTATCTGTATCTTGTAAGGCTAACTGTGTTTTACCTTAAAGCATTTTCCTGCATTAGGGTAAAAAACACCCCACTAAGTGTGTTCCCCACACAAATTTACTTAAGTCCTCTTGTGAACCAGTGCTTTCCTGGCAGCAGTGGCGCTGCTCTCTTCCTAGGTTCACAGGAGAGCAATGGGGAGCAATATTGTTACACAGAGCAGGTAAGTGTAACCATTTCTTTTTTTTTTTTTTTTTTTTTTCTTGCCAATAGATAAATTCTCTTTAAGTCTGCTCAAATAAATGTATCTGCATATAATAATTTGTGGTTTTCATTTCCATCCACTTGAATGTTTCCACCACCATTGAGTGTTGGTGGCTTTACAGAATCCAAGGTATCCAGAGATAATGCCTTGTAGCACACAGCAGTGACTCTTAAGCCAGATAGCAGCTTGCTGTTTAAGGTCAGGCGTCATTGCAGAGAGGTCAGTGAATTGGATCCAAGCTGTGTGGAATGTAAACTGATAACAGCAGATTTAACCCGTGCATTTCTTTACAGTTTTCCATTTCTTTAAAAAAAAATTATTACAGAATTAACAGAAAACCAGTAATCAATATTGTTTTTCAAAAAAGCTTTGGGACTGTGCTCCATCTGTATACATACAGCCAGCCATTACGCACTCTTTAATCCATGGTTCCAAAAAAGAAAATTTGTTGCCTTATTGGGACCCAAGAAGAGAATTATTATCAAGCTGTAAGCAAAGCTATACATAAGACCAAATGACAATGGCCTAATACTTAACACCCCCCCTCCGAAACACATTCAGATATAGTTCTTATATGTTGTTCTCATTTGTAAAGCAATAAAGTGACTATGCCCATCCCATTCAGGCTTGAACTTGAGGCAAACTGCTAATCACATGAAATGGGTAGACTGAGCAGTCTTACCTGCAAAATTCTTTGTATTACTGTCTATTTAGTTAAGAGAATTGCACCGAGGCAATTCCAAAAAGCACAGCTAACACAGTGGTCTCGCCAGAAGCTAATAAATCCTGTTGAATCCCATGTACAACCTTGTGCACATAACACTTGTCATTAAAATCTGTGATGTGGTTCTTAAACAGCATTGTTAGATTGTTAGCTTTTCCTCCCACCTACCGCTCTCACAAAGCTGGACAAAAGAGACTTCTGACTGACTGCACAGACGAGAGGGGACAGTACAGACATAGAGCACACAAAGCTTGCACAGCTCCCGCCCGCTGAACAGTGCAGAGAGAACATATGCAGCTCTCTCTTTGCATCCCTCTCTTCTGCTCCATTTGTCTAAATAAAAGGCTGATCCCTCAACTTCCCTACGCACCCTCTCCATTCTGTCTATTTTTCACCTGTCTCCCCTGCTCCTGTTAAGTGAGCCGGCACTCACCCGCAGCTGCCAGCTAGTTCATAGATTACTACAGTAGTAGCTGGAGGTATAAAATCACAGTATGAATAAAATGAATGTGAGCGCAGCACTTGGCAAATAGAGAAAGCAGCTAGCATATAAAGGTAAACCTCAACACCTTCAAAGTAACAGATATAAATATGAGATAGGTAGGTAGGTGTGTGTGTGTGTGTGTGTGTGTGTGTGGTGTGTAAATTTACAGCATCTGGGGAGGAATGCCTGTCATTCACGAAAACAAAGATAGACAACAGCACGCGTTGGCAGCTATGATGTCCGAGATAGAATGGTGTAATAGCTGCTGGTGTGGGCTGTTGCTGACTTGTGTTTGAAAGGCCGGCATTACTCCCCAATCGCTGTCATTCACACAACACAGGCCAACAGTTACTACTGTAGTAATAGTTTCTGAAATGGCTGGTGGCTGTTGGATATTGCATGCTCGGTCTATTAACAGTAGCAGAAAAGGCTCAGTTGCAGAATGGAGAGAGACCTAAGGTAGATTACGGGCTCAGTCTTTTATTTGTACCGATAGAGCAGAGGACACACAGGGCTGGCAATGGCAAGGAAGGCTGCACTATTTAGGGGGACAGTGGCTTCACAAACATAGGAACTCCCATTATGTGGGCTTCTGCCTGGGGTGGAGATGCAGTCAGCACTGACAATAAGTCCCTATTTTTTTCCCCTACCACTTCTGCTTCGATTTTCATGGGGGCAAGTGCACAGGGAGATTTACCAAGCTATTCTAACTTCAGGTAAGAGTTCTTTAAGAAACACAGCTAGGTCCTCCTGCCCCCAGCCTGTCATTGGACAGTGAATGACCAACAACAGAATGATGAGGTCATGTTTGCATTCCCCTTTTGCCAGCATGTTCCTTGTAAACTCATGTACATGCAACACAGCTCATTGGCTACCCCTTTCCCTTCCAGTCTGAATGGTGGTGTACAAAGCATTACAAGAGCCTGAAATCAAGTCGGTATTCATTCTTTAGTTGAATTTAAAATAAGATTAACGTATTTTAATAGTATATAAATCCACTCATTGGTGTGGGGGGGTGTTCTGAATTTAAATCTTTGGATAAATGTAAGCAAAGGTTAGTAATCCTGTTGGTTTTTTATTAGTGTTGTCTTCCCACTTGGGGAAATTTTTATCCTTTTCTGCTCTAATGACACATGTTAATTCCATAGAAAGGGCAAATCCCATCATTGTCACCAGAACAGGAAGTGAAGAAAATCTCCCAACAGCTCCTCCATTCTATCAAAGTTGCTAAAACTCAGCTTGTTTTTAATTTTAGTATGTTGGTGGACTTGCCCTTTAAGCAGCAATGATCTAACTCGGAACATCAGTAATACGTTTCATCTCTTGTTCTGCCTTCTGGATGCTTGAAGGTCTGCTTTGTTTCTGATGTGTGTATGTCTTTCATTACTCGCATACTTATTTGAAGATGAGGGGTTTGGAAAGATGGAGTGGTGTGATTTAAAGACCTAGTAACACATGTATTTACAAGGAATGATTCCCCAATATGTTACCTCAATCTTCTAGCATCTCATAGCATGCCTGCCTTTGTCACATGTACATTCTAAACATCCGTGGTTTACTGGGGGCGGTCATCTTTATCTGGTGTGTGTTACAGCCTGCAGTGCACACACATTGAAAGCTTTTATTGGTATAAGGTTCATATTTTAGGAACGGTCATATGACCCCAGCATGCAATCTGCATTCTTTCCGGTTGACTGGCAAATACTATTCAGATAGTCTTAGAACAGGTTGAGAAACCAGACTGCTTGTTCAGATCTAAAGGGCTCATGGTCAAAGGACTCTGCAAGACGTGCAGCAGCAGCTGGAAACATCTGCATACATTGTGCCTTTCATTCTGCGCTACCAGCTTTTGCCAAGAAGGTGCTCTATGAAACTCGTTCCTTTTATTTATATTACACTTAAGGAGATTTCCTGATCTCCAGTTATCATGTGATGCTCTAAAGCTAAAAAGTCGATTAGGCTATAATCCCATACAGTGGTTTGTTCTTTTTTTAATGTATAGCACTTTTTCTTTGCTATTATTAAAGTGTATGTAAAGACAAGCATTTAGTCTATTTCTAGCTTTAATTTTTAAAATGGGGAGAAGGGTTACATCCTCTTCATTTTTTACTGTTGTCTGTAGCCTGGGGAGATCTACTCCAGTATTTTTCCTGGTGACCATTGTCTCTGGTACAGAATGTGAGAGGAAATACCAAACTTTAGAGTTGTCACCAGACCAAGCGATGAGGGTAAGTCTTCCACTAGGGTAGTCTGTTCTAGTGACAACTATATAGGAGAGGAATTCTGTTCATGTTGA